AAAAAGAATCAATCTAAATGTCCATTTTTACCTACACCGCAATCAAATATAAAACCTATTTATGTAATGAATCGTTTTGATATGGGAAGAAATAATGAAGATGCTGCGCAAGTCACCTAATGTAAAAAAAAAACTTCATAATCTTCCTTCATTCTTCTTGATATTATTTCTCATCTTCTATAAATTTATCTTTCACCCTGACTTTCTTTATTTCATTGTTTCTTTCTTTTTCTCTTTCTCTATTTCTTTCCTGTTTTCTTTATCTTTCTTTCTTTTACCCTTTCTTTTATTCTTTCTTTTTCTATTCTATTCCTTCTTTCTTAACCCTTTTGAGCTCTGACCACCGCTTTATCGGTGGTAGAGAAAAATGATGTAATGCCCAGCCACCGGTTTAACAGTGGTAGAGAAAAATAATTTAATGTCTAGTCACCGGTTGAACGGTGGTTAAACACTTATAACTATTTTTCATATCTACCATGATACATTACATACCAATTATTTGTGAATTTTGACTCAAGAGCTCAGGCAGAAAGGGTTAAAATTGTTCAGGAACACAGGGCGCAAAGGGTTAAAAGAATTAAAGTCTTTTATGGCGAAAACGGAATTTATAAACTACACTAGCAGCATGGCCCGGCGTTGCCCGTGCTTGATTCAAAAATCGTACGACTCATACAATCGCTATCACTTGACTTAAAATATTTTTGCCCTTCCTTGCCTTTAAAGGAGTGCCCTTTCCGTGCTGATGTTGCTACATGCCTTACTTCTTGCCTATCTCACACTGCGAATTTTTTCTAAGCTCCATACTAAATATTAAATCTGTTACGAAAAAAGAACTAAACAAAATGAACACAAAACGATCAGCTTTAAAAAAGGACTCGTAACTAGAAAAAGAATGTTAACAACAAATACTTTTTCACACTCAACCCACTTCTGCGGAATCAGAATCAACGTTGAGTTTAAGGAGCGAATGAGCCAATTGGAATAAAGTGCCATGCAGATTTAAATTTTTCCCACTTGTGACGAATGCAGCTATCGATTTTATTTGCATGCTAGCATGCTAGTTAACATTCGTGTCAGTCAGCTGTTGGCTCTCACGCTGGCCAATAGAATCTTCCTGCTTATTCGTGGCAGCCAGCTATATGCTCTCACTCTGGCCAGTACAAAATGGCTGCATACTACATGAAAACTGCCGTAGAAGCATGAAAAAAATCGATTATTTCCACTGTCGATGGGAGTTGGGAAATACAAAGTCGGTCTTGGCCTTCCCGCTAACTTGGATCATGTGCATATAAATTTTGGTTCAAATCCGTCGAAAATTGCGGTCGTGCATTCGTTACACACACACACACACACACACACATCCTGCCTTTTATAGATAGAGATTAGTAGCCTAAGTTTGATTTTCATCGGCCTGTTGTTATTCGTAATTACGAATTGGACACTTTTATGCAAACTCCATTAGACATTGGTTTATATATCTAAACTGCTGATGCTAATCCTGGTGAATTCAGCGAGAAGCAGAATTTGACCGGAAATAGGACAAGAACAGTGCAGCTTTGTCAAGGTCTCTTGAACAAAAAAATGATAAATTTAATATCAAAATATCTGAAAGAACAATACAAATATACGAGGACGTTCACTCATGTTTTATAGATGACGCAAAAAGCATTTGACAATGGACAGCAGAATAGTCTATGAGAACTACTTGCAAAACTAGGTCTATTTGAAAATGACACTAGAATAATCTAGAAATTATAATGGAAGCCAACCGCCTGCATATGGATAGAAAATAAATTGAGTAGCTAGACCAAAATAGAAAGAGGCGTGAGACAAAGGTGCAACTTCTCGCCAGATTTATTCAATTCTCTACAGCGATGCTTTTCTTAAGGAACGGGCAACCATAGCAGCAGGTGGAAGTAATTCTTTAAAAAGGAAGTCTTAAAGAAAATGTCAACAGAAAGAACACAAGGAAAGGAAACTGCAGGACCACCTATACAGCGTGTTAGAAGAAAGCAAGAAAAAAGGACTAATTATCAAATGTGAGAAGACAGAAAGTATGGTCATGAAAGTGCAAGATGCAAGTTATGAATTGGAGATATAAATATTAAGCAGGTGCAGAAGTTCAAATATCTGTAAAATGTTTAAAAACAGAAGTTGGAAAATGTGACACTGAGATACAAACACGCATTGGGCTAGTGAAAGAAAGAGGCATTCTAAAAGCTAAGAAAACGTTCAGAGAAACTGATGAATGTTCGTTATAAACAAGGAAAAGATTGCTAGAACACTGTGTGATATCCATTCACTTATATGGCAGAGAATATTTGAAAATATCCTCAGGTCTAAGGAAAAAATAGGGGCAACAGAAATGTTATTATACAAAAGGATGCGGAGAATAACACGGACAAAGCGACTAAGCAACAAGGATGCCTTAAAGAAAATGGCAAGAAAAAGAACACTTCTACACAAAATCAGGAAGAGACAGCTGAAATGCCCAGGAGACATTATAAAGAAGAAGGGGTTGGAAAACCATCACGAGAAGGTGTGACTAAGAAACAAGGATGCCTTAAAGAAAATGGCAAGAGAAAGAAAATGTTTCCTCAGAATCAGGAAGAGACGCCTGAAATACCTAGGAGAAATTGTGAAGTGGTTGGAAAACTTAACCATCACGGGAAGGAGTGTGTAAGCAACAATTATTCCTTAAAGTAAATGGCAAGATAAAGAACACTTCTACTAAGAATATGGAGGAGAAAGTTGTAATTCTTTGGACACATTATGAGGAAGTTAATGCTCACGCGAAGGAGTGTCTAAGAAACATGGAAACCTTAAATGAAATGGCAAGATAAAGAACACTTCTACTCAGAATCTGGAAATGGCAGCTGAAATTCCTTGGACGCATCACGAAGAAGGAGGTCTTGGAAAAAGTAATTCTCACTTGACGGAGCGAGTAAGCAACAAGGAAGCCTTGAACAAAATGCCTGCAAAAAAGCCACATCTACTAGAAAGAAATGTGAGATGAAAATTCTTTGACACATAATGACGAAGAGGGGTTTGGAAAACTTAACCCTTACGAGGCATAGTGAGATCAAGGGAAATAAGGGAAGACACTGTGCCACTTAACTGATGAGCTTGTGTGAATGGATGAAGGAACGGGTTCCGGGGGGGGGGGATAGGAAAAGTCGTCTTGGGTATGACGATAAACTAAATCCGGCTGCAAGGCCTCTGGTCAGAAGTTTTCGAGTAGCGTTGAATCACCTCTTAATTGCTATTTTTCCCCAGGTTCATCCTGTCACGTGGTGCTAGCAATTATTAAATCCCCAGCTATAGGCAAACTGTGAACTCCAAAAACAAAAATAAAAACTATGAAATTATAAAAATACATTTTATAGTAAAAAAACAGTAATAGATTTTTATAGTAAAAAATAAAAATTACCAAAGCTCCCAAGAAAATTAAATTTCAGTACTAAATGACTCATAATGCCATTAAATAAACCAACTAAGACCACTCTTAGCAAAAGGAGAAAATTTCTAAGCGCTACACGAGGTGGTTGTGGAGAGCAATGAACGCTTATGTCCTGAAGAGTGGCGTCATGTAGAAGATAGTATATTGAAAATTTTAAAGATACGCTTAACATAGAATTAGTACTAATCCAATAGAACACAGATTACAATTATTATTATATCCTTGCAATACAACTTAGAATATAAACACATAAAAATCATATTAACAAAGAACACCTTGAATATGTATCTATATTTCTGAGAGGAAGTATTATGTACACTATTTACATTATTCGGACTATTGTCCAGCTCTTTGTTGCCATATTTATTACAACGTTTCAGCCCTTCAGTATCTGTCTATATTTCTGAGAAGAGGTATTATGTACACTATTTACATTATTCGGACTATTGTCCTCATCTTTGTTGCCATATTTATTACAACGTTTCGGCCTTTCAGTATCTGTCTATATTTCTGGGATGAGGTATTATGTACACTATTTACATTATTCGGACTATTGTACTCATCTTTGTCGCCATATTTATTACAAAGTTTCGGCCTCTCAGTATCTGTCTATATTTCTGAGATGAGGTGTTATGAACACTATATTATTCAGACTATTGTCCTCATCTTTGTCGCCATATTTATTACATCGTTTCGGCCGTTGTACGCTCCGGCCTACTTCAAGTGGTTGGAATGTCGAGGGAGTATAGAGTAATACAGGATATACCCAGTATCTATGAATGTGAGCTCCATCGGATAATCAGTCTAATGAGCCACATAACCAAACTAATGAACCGAGCGCGAACCTGAATTCGACTGGAAATAAATCAAAAGCAGGACACTGAAACGCTGTAATAAATATGGCGACAAAGATGAGGACAAATAATGTAAATAGTGTACCTTAAGCATGGCTAATACATTGGTCGAAAGTGCTTGGGACAATAATCATTATGGAAGCTCTTTTCGCCCCCAAAAAGAAAAAAAGAACTTTAGAAAACTTTAGAAAATCACACATAAACACACACACACACAAACACATATATATATATATATATATATATATATATATATATATATATATATATATTTGTAATTTAAATCATGAATACAGGTGTTGCAGCAAAATCCGACACTTGACAAAAAAAAAAAAATAGTTAATAAAACAAAATTTGTTTGTATATGCATAGACGCGACAGTTTGTCAACTAACTAATGTTAGGCAGAACGACAGGTGGATCTGCAAAGACATCGAGGCAGTTACCGTTGTGAAGCATACGAAATTTCCACCCCCCTCTGTCATGGTCATTGGCGTCATCCTCCGTTTTTCTTTTCAAAGGGTCTGAGAATCACCGCTGAGATCTACCAGGAGGTGCTGAGGAGCGTGGTGAAGCCCTGGATGCACGAGATCGCCACCAGACACCCATACATCTTCCAGCAGGACTCCAAGGCCAAGATAACCAAGGTGTGGCTGCTCAACAATGTTCCTCACCACTGGTTACCCG